CCGCAGGGGTTTTATGTCAGCCCTGGGGCCTGGGACTCAGTATCGTAGCTTTGGGATGTTCACGCACGGGGGAGTGCTTGGTGTGACGACGGCTAGTCGTCAGCTTCCGCACACGCAAAGGTACCTTTTGGCAGTGCTACAGCACTATCACCCTCAGGCTACATTCACTTCTTTTGTAGCGTCGGTGAATTGCAGCGCCCCCATCCACCGTGACTACTTCAATGCTCCGGATAGCTTGAACTATGTTGTTGGCGGAGCCGAGCATTTGCGTGGCGGGCTTTGGATCGAGGTTAGTTCAGAGTTTGCTAGCACTGCCGCTCCAGGGGTTTTGCAATTTCGAGAGGTTGCTCCGCGTCGGTGGCTGCCGGGAATGATGTGGGATACGGTTGGTGCCTCGTTCTCGTTCTCACCGCACTGCTTTCATGCCGGTGACTCGTGGTCTGGCGACAAATACCTCCTTGTTGCGTTCACTCTCAAACGATGTGTGAAGGCTCCTCTCCCGGTTGTGGCGGAGCTGACTTGCGCCGGCTTTCCGTTGCCTTCTTGCTGCCCTGCGTCTGACGCAGGGGGGGGAGCCCACAGTAATCTTTCGCCTTCTTGTTCCAAACAGGGGCTTGCAACTCAAAATCAAAATCGACCGCATGAGCTGAGTGCGTTGATTGATACTTCTCCTCCTGCCCAAGAGTCTTCCTCCGGTGTCGGGCTCTTGGTTGATGAGGTTGAGGCGGAGTCTGATTTCAGCGAAGAGGCTTATGGTTTGGATGCGGCCTGCAGTGCTGAGTCGAAGTTATGGTTTGAGGCTGCTGAAGCTGCGTCCTCCCTTCAGGTTGAGGCTCGGAGCTTAAGCCCTTGCCATGATCATGAGACCCCTCCCGATGACCCCCTTGAGTCCTTTGTACTGATAGACGGTCCGGTAGAGACCTGTGTCTTGCAGGGGATCGAAGAGCTTAATAGGGCTAGGGTTAATCTTCGCAGCTTGCAGGCAGCTAGTGGTTCAAGTAGTGCTGTCAGTGAGGTCCTCGAGGCGCGCTCTGAAGGCATAGAAAACTTCCTTGCCTATTATCAGGTGCTGTCGGGCCCGGGGGAGTCCAAGTGCCCCTTAGCAGTCAAAGAGCTTCGTCTTAGAGGACTGGGGGAGTCACCCTCTGCTTCTGATGCCCATGCTCCGGACCATGAGCCACCACCGTTGCAAACGAAAACTGTGAGCCTCGATCAGGTCAAACGCGAACTTCCTTTGTGGAAGCCAGCGATAAGTGCCGAATATGACAGCCTCCGTGTAAAAGGAGTGCTAAGGCCGATTTCGGAACAACAAATTGCGGAATGGCTTGCCCAGGGACGTGCGGTGCTGCGTCTGCCCTCAAAAGGAGTCTTCACTCGCAAGGCGGTGTCAGGCTTAAGGAAGGCTAGGTGCGTCGCATGTGGAAATCACGGGCCTTCAGCTGGTGGCTCCGCGTATGAACATCGTATGCTCACATATGCCGGTGGAATCGACGCGAGCGCACTAAGATTGTCGTTGGCTTTCATATCCCAGCACCCCGACTGGGATGTCTGGGTGACAGACGTCAAAACAGCTTTCTTAAACGCGAAGTTGTCCGATGGTGTTGATAGCAGTCTGGTCGAGTCAGGGACCGAGGAGCTGATCGTCCTTGATCCGCCCCGTATCTTTCAGCTTGCCGGAGTAGTCAGCAGAGCTGAGCGGTGGTTGGTTGAAGGTGCTCTGTACGGCCTTGACCGGTCTCCTAAATGTTGGTCGAAACTTAGGGACCGCACGTTAAAGACTGTTCGCGTTAAGATTGGAGATATTGAAATAAGCCTGAGACAGCTAGTTTCTGAGCCAAATGCATGGCTACTGACGGCATCGTCAGGAGGCATTGTCGGCCTTCTGGTCGTATATGTCGATGACCTCATGATTGGAGGTGTTGCAAAGTATGCATCCGCAGTCCTCGCTGAAATTCGCAACATCTGGCAGTGCTCGGAGCCGGACCAGCTTAGCTCTAAGAATCCTGTGCGCTTTTGTGGTGTTGAAATAGAGAGACAAGGCCGTGCGCTCTTAGTCCACCAAGCATCGTATATAGAAGATGTTGTAAAGCGCTACGAAGAGAGTCTTGGGGCTCCACTGGTAGAGACTTCGTGCCCGTTTGTAAAGGTTCAGGACCCAGAAGAGCCAGAACCTTCTTCCCCTGTTGCTTTGAGAAAGGCCCAGGCACTTGCGGGTGAGCTTCTTTGGGTGTCTGGAAAGACAAGAGTAGACATTGTCTATGGGGTTGCGAGGGTAACATCATTGGTGAGTCGATGTCCGGAGCTTGCTTTCAAGCTCGGTCTGCATATCCTTTGCTATCTTAAAGGCACCAAGCGGGTCGCTCTGAAGTACCAGTGCGCCGCAGATCAGCCTCCCCATGGCATGCATAATGAGCGTCGCGTCACGGCTCTTCCTTACCTGCTTGAATCTTTCACTGATGCTAGTTTCGCTCCAGCTGGTGACAGAAGCTTTGAAGCTGGCCTGGTTCAGGTCGGTCGCAATCTAGTCTTCTGGGGTGCAGGTAAGCAGCCCTTCACAGCTCTCTCTACTGCTGAGTGTGAGCTGTTAGGGGTTCTTGAGGGTGTAGCGTTGACGGAGTCCCTTGAAGGGCTGGTGCATGAGCTTCACCCAGAGGTTCAGCAGTTTCCAGCGTGTCAGGCTTTCTGCGATAACCTTGCATCCATCTCAATCGCTTCTTTTGAAAGTGGCAATTGGCGCACGCGCCACCTGCGGGTTCGGTCTCAAGCCCTCCGGGAAAGGCTCCAGTCTGGAAAGTGGCACCTGTCGCACTTAAAAGGAGAACACATGCTGGCAGATATTGCCACGAAAGTGCTGCCTTGGACTCGTGTCAGAGACCTCTTGCTTTTGTGCGGGTACGATGTGCCAAAGGTTAAGGCCCCTGTTGCGAAACTAAACCTTTTGAGGCAGGCGTTGGCGCTGCTTGTTGTCGGTTCGCTGCCTGTTCAGGCTCAGGGCAAGGGAGGAGTTGAAGGATCGACGCAGGATGACTGGAGCAGCTGGTGGCTTTCAATAGTTCCGGTTCTTGTGGTTGCAATAGGGATTTTTCTGCTTTGTGCTGTGGGAAGGTTCTTTAGCACACGACGCACTGAGCCAGTCGAAGATGGCCTTGAGCAGCCAGAGCTTGAACCCATTCCGCTTTCCGAGCAAATCCCGCAGCCTATAGTCATTGCTGACTACGATGATGGACTGCGTTGCCGTGGCAGAGGTGCCAGGCCAAGGCGAGTTAGCACTGGTGCAGGCCCAGACGTGCAGTTTTCTCCGTGGGCCCTCCTGCCTGGAGCACCAGAGCAACGTAGCCCCACGGTTGAACCTCCCCCGCTGCGAAGGAACACCAACCGGATTGAAATTCCTAACTTTTTTGATCTTGGGGACCCTAATAGCTGGGAAAACTTCATTGATCGCGTGTTAAGAAGCAGCCTGGTTGTTGACATGCAAGGAACTGTCGCACTCGAGCTTCCACCCGAGGCCCCGAGAAATCATCCTGTAGTAGTTGTTCCTGAGGCCCTTCCCTACGAGCCGGAACCTCAATCCCCGCGTAGTGATGCAGAGTCTTCTTCGATACAGTCTGGTCGGTCAGCTGAGTATTATGACCGCGGAGCGCGGCGAGATTTCGAGCTGTATATGGCAACGAGATCAGACTCCAGCTCGTCATCTGGAACTCCTCCGCACTGGGTTCAAGGGGTTGGGATAGTTCCTGCTGCTGAGTATAGGGCTAGGTATGACCCTACTTACCCCCACCGTGACCAGATCAATAGGCATGGAATCGATGTAGTCCCTGGACCCGAACAGCTGTACCGCCAGTATGAAGAGATGCGTGAGGCAGGTCTCTATCCTGACTTGCCAACTCTAACACCCTGGGCTGCAGGTACCAATGAGGCTGCTAGCTCCTCTGATGCTGTGGTGAGGTATGTTGATGACGTTGCGGTCTTAAGATCAACAAGATTTCCTCCGCTTGCGACTGACAGTGAGATTGAAGAGGCTGATGAAGAAATAAATCATGCTATCGCTTCAGCTGCAGCGTTTCTGATTAGGAATGGCATTGAAGTGCCACTTGAACAGTTGTCAGATGCTCAACAACATATCTTTTACACGAACGAGGGCTTTCGCCTCGAGCGCATGCACCAGGATGGAGTCCCTGAGGTGGATTGAAGTAAGGTGCTCTAGGCGTGGTTTTTAGGGGTCGTTTTGTCATACGTCCTTAAAGGTGTGGCTTGTGGGTCTTAGTTTGTTAGGCGTGCCAGTCTCGCGGATATCTGCTTGAGACATGCTAATCCTTTCTGACCCTTGGAGTACAGTATCGGCTCATCTTTGGATTTTTGACGATTTTCTTAGCTTCCGGTTGTAAGTCCGGTTTGGGTCAGGTTCTCAGGTTGTGTAGCTTGCAGATTGGTGAAGAGCCGTGCTTCTGCAAAACCGTGCAGGGGATTACATGTCCCATCTTTTGCAAGCACTGTGAAGCCTTGCGCCGTTTGTTGTGCAACCACAGTCCTTTTCCTCAGAAACTGAGGAGCGTCTTGAGCCTTACTTGGGCTACACTCCTTTGCACTCCTCCACTTGGACTTCTCTCCACCCTTTTCCGAGGGCCCTTTGGACTTCAGCTGCTTAAGTGTGGTTGGGTTGTTGGGGTTTGGTGGTGTTTTGGCGAACGCCAAAAGGGGGAGCGCAGATGTGTATGTCCCTGCCCCTGCTGCAAGGATGACACGCTTGACTCCGCAGGTGCATGGCCCCTGCAGCAAGGAAGACAGCCAGGCACGTACAGAAGACGTTTTTTAAATCGAGAAGTGTACCAAGTTAGATCTTATTCGCTTTCGCTTCTGCTGCTAAAACAGTTGGCTGGCCCTCGTACTCGAGCCCTAAACCCATAAACCTTAATCGACCCTAAACGACCCCCAACCCCAAACCCTAAACCCTAAACGACCCTAAACCCCAAAACCCTGCACCACTCTGTTTCGGAACTGAGGTCGGCACGCCGGATTATGTGGCTCCGGAGGCTCGCAGGGGTCTTCGTTTTGGGGTGTCCAGGGTGTCGGTTTTGGGGTTTAGGGTTCAGGGTGTCGGTTTTGGGGTTTAGGGTTCAGGGTGTCGGGTTCAGGGTTTAGGGTTCAGCGTTTCGGGTTTCGGCTCAGGGCTTCAAGTTCTTTGAAGGCTTTTTCAGGGTTCTGGCAACTTAGATCCCCAATACCTAACCTTTAAACTTCTTGGGTTCTAACAGGCATCGGAGAGTTTAAGCTTTTCTTTCTGTGGCTTATTGGGGTACTAAGGAATCGGTTTTATGAGGGGTTTAGCGGGCTAGGGCTCTTCCCCTAAGGATCCATGTCCCCAAATCTATTTGGGTACATGGACCCTTTGGGTTCCGGTTGAAGCACCTTCAGTCTCAAAAGTCCCTTCAACTCCCGTTGGAAAGTTGCAACGGCATAAGGCTCCTTAAAAAATCGAAATCCAGAATTTGTTTGTTCGGAGATTCCTGAACTCCGAAACTAAAACCCGGTTTACACCGGCCCCTTAGAATGTATAAGAAGGTGGGGTGTGGTGGGGCCACAGATATACATTCCTCTCGTGGTCATCCTCGTTCTGCGTAGACAAATGCAAGCCCTTCCTTCCAGCGAAGCAGCAGTGCAGACATCACAATTGCCACAGAAGTATGCCTAGAAGAATGCTCGTTAGCTGTTCACTGGCCGCTCAAAGACAGGAAGTTAAAACGTTTGGTGTGGCTATGAATGCACCTACATATACATGTTCACCGTTGTTCTTTGGCTTCATGAGCGGGCGTCGTGGTTGAGAGACCTATCACCCCAGGAGTTCACCCCAGGGTCGACATGGGGGCCGACGGCTGTAGCAACAGATAGTCTGTAGCTATTGAATGCTATTGCTTAGCTTTACAGGCTATGGTTTCAGAAGTGGTTTCAGATTAGGTCTTTCCTTCGCAGGTGACTTCTCGTAAGTCGGGTCATAGATGCGGAGTTGTAACCAGGACGCTTTGCTGCTTTGCACAGCCATGGCTGCCGAGGGGAAGCCTGATTTTTATATTTGGGAGGAAAACAGGTACGAGACGATGGCGGTAACCTATGTGATCTCCTTTGGTACCAAAAAGACGCGAGTCTGCGGCCGCAAGAGCCGAGCCGAAGCGGAGGATCTCTTAGTTTCTTGGCTTTACAATAAAAATGGATTTGCCGAAGCATTTCGACGCTCCAGTTGCAGCCACCACACCTGTGCAGTTATTCCAAGGAGCTGTGTCGGCGGAACAGAACTCTTCCGCTGGCGGAACTGAAGAAGTTGTGCCAGCGATCCGGCAAGACAGAGCCTCTTCAGCATTTTCTCTCTATGGGCCGGGATGGGTGAAGAACAGGTGTAATTTAGCAGCAATTCAAGTCTAGAAACCTAGACCAGTGGACTGCTGAGATCTTCTGACGGCCAGTGAACCCACGCAGGTTCTCCAGGGCACCGACGGCTTGATCGGGGTAGTTGTCCTAGGGTTGCTGTAGGGTTCCTGTGTGTGGCTGCCTGGAGAGAAGTCTCCGAACAGTCATCCTACTCAGTCATCCTTATTCAAACAGTCGTGACTGTTTACGGTGGAGGTGCCGAAGCGTGTTGCCAAGCGGCTCCATGTGGCTCTTCTAGCGGGGAAGCTCGGAGGATTGTCATGCGACCTTCGCAGAAGAGTTGGATAGCTCTTTCAGTCCCAATGAGGTTGTGGACTGAGGTTGTGTCAGTGATGTTTATGAGATCGTCCTGTAACACCATGGTGACGCCATGGTGCTAAGTGCTGTGCATGGAAAGGCCGAAAGACCTGCGAAACTGCGGGGCAAGTGATTCTGGTAAGTGACCCTCTTGTAATGCATCATGTTTGCTTCGGGATCAAATTTCAGGGTTGGCGAGCGCAAGCACTCACGAAGTCTTGAATGCGCAGAGCTCGCAAGTCCCCCCCAACACAACCTAAAACCTGCAACCTCGCAGTTCCAGCTCTTTCTCTTAAATGGGGTCGCGCGGGGGTGGTACTTAGGTCTATGTGGGAGTAGGGTCATGCTGTCCATGTTGATCGGTTGGATGAGGAACTAGGATGAGGATAGTGGTTTTGATGTTGCTGCTCATGGTGATGCTGTTCTCAAAGTAATTACTGCTAACATCCCCAATAGACCCAAAACAAAAACCCGATAAAAGAAGCCAGCTTCTACTGTGCCCTCAAGGCCGCCTTTAAAGCATTCGTTCGAGGAGTTGCTATAACGAGAACTGCTCATCGGCGGAGCGCGAACCTTGCACAACTTCGTGGGGGACTTTCGTGGGGCCAAAAGGTTTTGAGCGCAGCATGGCCACAGGATAGCATTTGTGCAGTCATGATCCTTGAAAATATGCCGCAGACAACTGCAGACCCCAGTTCTAAAGACCTTGAACCTCACACCCGAGACCAGCGAAAGCTTGTCGGTCCTTGAACAGGCAGTGTGAAATTGCAAAAGTTCAGTGGCGAGCCGGTGCTAGACGAAGCAGGTGCGGGGCCAAGGCTTGAGAGTTTTGGAGGTTCAGGGTTTAGGATTCAGAGTTTGCCAGTCTTCCGCCAGTTAGGACCGTGCTCGTGCATGCAAGCCTGCAGACTAAGCCTTCTAATGCCACATGTCACGGGCAAATCCAACATTGTCAGAGTGTTAGCGCCGAAACCGTTTGTTTAACCCTTAAGCCTAAATCTCGATACAACGAACCATTAGCTCCTGGCTCGGTCCGAAAATAGGTCGGAACCCTAAAATCGTGTCTGATGTGCCGTGGTGGAAGGCTGCCCATTTCTCAATGGACAGCGTCCCCGAGAAACCGGTCCCTTGACCAGGTCCACCTGTTTTCATTTCGCACTTCAGCAACAGTCGTGCACAGCGTCGGGGGATTTAGGTATGGGAGGTCTTGCTTTGTGACTTGAGTTTCGGATTTTCCCTTGAATACATTCAGCTTAAGCCGTTTGCCTGGGGCCCTTAACTCCCTTAAGTACAGTGCACTGAAGCCTGGGGCCCTTAAGTACGCCCTTAAGTACGTTGCACTTAAGCCTGAGGCCCTTAAGTACATTGCACTTAAGGGCCCTTAAGTACATTGTACTTAAGCCTGGGGCCCTTAAGTACATTGTACTTAGGCCTGGGGCCCCATTGTACTAGTACATTGTACTTAAGCCTGGGGCCCTTAAGTACATTGTACTTAAGCCTGGGGCCCTTAAGTACTTAAGCCTGGGGCCCTTAAGTACATTGTACTTAAGCCTGGGGCCCTTAAGTACATTGTACTTAAGCCTTAAGTACATTGTACTTAAGCCTGGGGGGCCCTTAAGTACATTGTACTTAAGCCTGGGGCCTGGCCTGGGGCCCTTAAGTACATTGTACTTAAGCCTGGGGCCCTTAAGTACATTGTACTTAAGCCTGGGGCCCTTAAGTACATTGTACTTAAGCCTGGGGCCCTTAAGTACATTGTACTTAAGCCTGGGGCCCTTAAGTACATTGTACTTAAGCCTGGGGCCCTTAAGTACATTGTACTTAAGCCTGGGGCCCTTAAGTACATTGTACTTAAGCCTGGGGCCCTTAAGTACATTGTACTTAAGCCTGGGGCCCTTAAGTACATTGTACTTAAGCCTGGGGCCCTTAAGTACATTGTACTTAAGCCTGGGGCCCTTAAGTACATTGTACTTAAGCCTGGGGCCCTTAAGTACATTGTACTTAAGCCTGGGGCCCTTAAGTACATTGTACTTAAGCCTGGGGCCCTTAAGTACATTGTACTTAAGCCTGGGGCCCTTAAGTACATTGTACTTAAGGGCCTGGGGCCCTTAAGTACATTGTACTTAAGAGCCTGGGGCCCTTAAGTACAAAGTACAGGCCCTTAAGCCTGGGGCCCTTACGTACATTGTACTTAAGCCTGGGGCCCTTAAGTACATTGTACTTAAGCCCTGGGGCCCTTAAGTACATTGTACTTAAGGCTTCCTTGGTCCCCCCCCCCAGAAACGAGGTCTTACGTGCTCGCAAAAGCCTTCAGTCGTGGTTCTTTTGGGGGTCTCCTGGGAGGGGGGGGGGGTCGAGGCCCTTAAGTACATTGTACTTAAGGGCCCGGGGCCCTTAAGTACATTGTACTTAAGGCTTCCTTGGTCCCCCCCCCCAGAAACGAGGTCTTACGTGCTCGCAAAAGCCTTCAGTCGTGGTTCTTTTGGGGGTCTCCTGGGAGGGGGGGGGGGTCGAGAGCCTTAAGCACAATGTACTTAAGGGCTCCGGGCTTAAGCTCAATGTATTTACGGGCCTCGAGGCGTTTGGGAAGCTGACATGCTTGTGCTGATCTGAGGCTGTCCCGAGTGCGGCCTTGCAGGAAGGCATGCAGGAGGGCCTGCGGGATCCGTTTCTTGCGTGGCTGGACGGCTGCGACTTCTTTGGGATCCTGAGCTCGCTTTCGGGCGATGCAGGCTACCAGGCCTTTTTGACGGGTCTTTGCCTCACGGCGTGCATTACTTGGTCCCAGGGCTATTTCCCATCACCTGGGTGTTTTACGCATCTGCAAGGCGTCTACTTCGGGGAAGGTTTTACAGAGCTGGTTTTACAGACATTACGTGGTTTTATGAAGCTCTGTATTTTCAGCTGCGTAGCATAATCTTCCAGAACACTCTCGCATCTGCATGGCATCCGTCAGTGTCAGTGATCCCCCGGCTCCGTCGCTTTGCCATCGATCAGCGCCGTCAACATCTCCAGCACCTTCGGGCCTGCTTTCCTGAGCACGGCCTTGTCGCACGGCGGGAAGTTCGGCACCGATGCTCGCCAATTGACATCGACTGGCTTCTGGAAATTGAACTATGCTCGAGGCCATGCTCTCCACCGTGGCAAACAGCACCGCGCAGGCCTCTCAGTCTACCGTGTTTTGACTTGCAAACCCTCTGCTAATCTCTGCTCACTGCTCCGTGCACTGAAATCCTGCCTGCAAAGTCTGCTGCTCTTTGCGCTCACAGGTCGCAGAGGCCATGCTGAGCACAAGCTGCAAAAGGTACGCAGTATCCTTCATTTGGCTGCACTCGAACCGGCACATGGGGAACAAGACCACGGCCACCGTCATCATGTGGGACTCCTTGAGAACCCCCGTCTGCACCGGATCCATGTCAGCTAAGTTCGGGCTGTGCTGTGCGCAAGAAGCCTGATACCTTGATGCTGGAAGCTGGCAGGCAACGCCACAGACAACATCCAAGTGCATGAATGCAAAGGCACATCCGCACGGCACCACGAGGAATTTAATAAAGCTCGCACCTGCACTTATCCCAAATGGTCCCTTGCTGATCACAGGAAAACCACATTCGCACCTCGATTTTTCCCAATTCGCACCTCCTCCCTGCCCTTGACTGCAAACCCCAGTCGCAACTGCGACGAAACCCTCTCGCACCACAGGAAAACCGCATTCGCACCTCCATTTTTACCAATTCGCACCTCCTCCCTGCCCTTGACTGCAAACCCCAGTCGCAACTGCGACGAAACCCTCTCGCACCTGCACTTATCCCAAATGGTCCCTTGCTGATCCCAAAAAAACCGCATTCGCACCTCGATTTTTCCCAATTCGCACCTCCTCCCTGCCCTTGACTGCAAACCCCAGTCGCAACTGCAACGAAACCCTCTCGCACCTGCACTTATCACAAATGGTCCCTTGCTGATCACAGGAAAACCGTATTCGCACCTCGATTTTTCTCAATTCGCACCTCCTCCCTGCCCTTGACTGCAAACCCCAGTCGCAACTGCGACGAAGCCCTCTCGCACCTGCACTTATCCCAAATGGTCCCTTGCTGATCACAGGAAAACCACATTCGCACCTCGATTTTTCCCAATTCGCACCTCCTCCCTGCCCTTGACTGCAAACCCCAGTCGCAACTGCGACGAAACCCTCTCGCACCTGCACAAATCCCAAATGGTCCCTTGCTGATCACAGGAAAACCGCATTCGCACCTCGATTTTTCCCAATTCGCACCTCCTCCCTGCCCTTGACTGCAAACCCCAGTCGCAACTGCGACGAAACCCTCTCGCACCTGCACTTATCCCAAATGGTCCCTTGCTGATCACAGGAAAAACGCATTCGCACCTCGATTTTTACCAATTCGCACCTCCTCCCTGCCCTTGACTGCAAACCCCAGTCGCAACTGCAACGAAACCCTCTCGCACCTGCACTTATCACAAATGGTCCCTTGCTGATCACAGGAAAACCGTATTCGCACCTCGATTTTTCTCAATTCGCACCTCCTCCCTGCCCTTGACTGCAAACCCCAGTCGCAACTGCGACGAAACCCTCTCGCACCTGCACTTATCCCAAATGGTCCCTTGCTGATCACAGGAAAACCGCATTCGCACCTCGATTTTTCCCAATTCGCACCTCCTCCCTGCCCTTGACTGCAAACCCCAGTCGCAACTGCGACGAAGCCCTCTCGCACCTGCACTTATCCCAAATGGTCCCTTGCTGATCACAAGAAAACCGCATTCGCACCTCGATTTTTCCCAATTCGCACCTCCTCCCTGCCCGCTTCGGCTGCATTGATTGTTATTGTCTTGGGTTCCGTCTAGCTGGTAGCTCGCGAAGTGTCTCTACAGGATTTTGTTGCCTGGTGGTTTCGTGGCTTTCAAGTCAACATGACAGGCCTTTGTGGACTGAGCTGAAGGTGCGCGCGCCCATGCTGTTTCAGAAAGACTTCTGCACCAAGAATGTCGCGGGGAAGGCCCCAGTGGCATCAAGCATGTTCAGCCAGGCCGTCTGTGAACAGTTCCGTGTGGCCGCACATCGCGAACATGATTTCCTGTGCTTGCTCAAGCGCATTCACAAGCATGCGTTTGAGCTGCTGCCGCTAGCTAAGTAGCAACTCAGTAGCCCAGTGAACTCTGTCGAAACCCCAAACGCATCGACATGCTAATCTCCAGTCATCTCCAGTCTTAGCACTGCGCCAAGAATATAGCACATACGCGGGCTCAAGTTTGGAAAGACTTCCGGGTCCGGGTTCAATACAGGTTACGAGCTCCTTTCAGAGCACCCCTCCAAGAGCCTCAACCCTAGCCCGAACCTTCTTCCCTTCAGCCCAAACCCCATTGCCGATGCATATTGAAGATTTCGAGTTCATGTCTTGAGCCATCCAGAGTAAGCTGTACATTGTGGTATGTGTCGCAGTAGTACTATGTCGCAATCAAGGCCCTCAGCTGCGGCAGATACGCTCTTGAAAAGGTGCTCCGTTCTCGTCAGGGAGCGAAGGGGTTTGTTGGAGTCTGGACCTTCGCTTGCCTAAGCCTAAAAGCCTCCAGCCCCCAGGTCTCCCCAGGTCTCAAACTTAAAGCATTGGCCAGTGTCCTAAACCTTCCACCAGACTCTGACGAATCCATTCCGTTGGAGAACGGGAACCCGGGGTTCTCGCCCTGCCAAAAAAAGTTGCTCCTCAGCTTTCGATTTGGGCGTATAAGCTTCGATGGCAATTAGGGGCTCATTCGCTAAAGGCATTTCGGGTTTCAAGGTGTCGGTGTTGGGGTTTCAGGGTGCCCTGATCCTATCGTAAGCTACTCTAGGTGCAAACTAGGTGCAGAACATGAAGACCGGCTCCTGATGTGGCCACCGGGTTGTTTCAAAACAGCCATGTCCTCTTGCAGTTTCAAGAGCCTCGCTTGACAAGAGGAAGCCGTGTAAATATTCAATGCCTTCGGGCCCTGCTATTCTCACGATCTAAGCTGCCGTTCACAATTGAAGACAGGAAGCCCTGCGCTCCTGCCTACTCCGGGCCCTGCTGTTTTTTGGCTTCTTGGTCTCAGATCCCCCAATCGCGCGCGTTCGCATTGTAAGTTAGAGCACTCGTGGTTCGAACACCACTGGAAATGTATAAGGGGGTGGGGGACTGGTTCCCATGGTTAAGGGGGGGGCCTAACCCGGTTTCGGGGTCAGGGTTCCTAGCAGCTCATGGCACTAACTATGTGCATAAACTCGAACACAAGAACCCTGAAGATCCTCAAACCCCGTAGAAAGAGGTGCTGGATGGCAAGTACGACGAGCGCGTCGACTTCTGGAGCTTTGGGGTAATTCTCTATGCCATGCTGCCCGGGGCTCGGTGATTGATTTTGGGGCTTCGAGGCTCAAGGTTAAGGCTTAGGGCTTAGAGTTGAGGTGTAAAGACCATACAGACAGTGTGTGTTTGGGGTTGCAGACCCTACAGCTAAATTTTTGTTATTGTGTTTGGGGTTGTAAGCCGTCCAGCTTATGGTTGAAGGGCTTCAAGACCCGAAGCCCTAAAGCCCAAGTGGAGGCTTTCGGGGCTTCTGGGTTTTGGGGCTTCTGCCATACTGCTAGAAGCATCGGGACTTGCCAGGTTCTGAGAGTTTGTGGCTTAGGGGTAAGACCCCTAACCCAACAGCCCTAGATCACACCTTCAGCTGTGGTTTCGGCTGAGGGTCGTGGCTGAGTGGCCGGCCGAATCTCGGATCTATGGGTTCTTAGGGGGTGAGGGAGAGTCGACATGCCCAAATTGGGCGAGGAGGACTCCCAGGCAGGTTGCACTACGTATGAGTTAATTTTGGGGGAGGCACAGCAGTACGTAGCACCCAAATCCATTTTTTCACAAGCCCTGCAACTTCAATCCGAAGACCCAAAAACGTTCCACCCTCCAATCCGAAGCCTCTACCCGGACTCTACCCTTTAGAGGTTCAAGTGCCCAAGAACTTTTTCGCCCCAAGTACCTGATTATCAGGCACTGTGGACCCCAAGCCCCAAGCCCTTAACTCAAGACCCTTTAGAACCACCAACTGCCTAAGCCTTAATCTCGAACCCCCTAAACTCGAAAGCGCATGCTAGACGTGGCTTTTTTGGGTTGGTTTTATCTGCAAACCTTAGTAGTATCAGAGTATACTTTAACTGAACGCCTATGCATGCCCAACCCCTCTTCAGCACCACTCGGTCCCACTCAGCCCCCCCACCTCAAGGTGCGGTCGCATGCCTTTTACCGTCAGCAGTTTGAGCCCTGACCTCCACAAGGAGCCCTGTTTTCCTTTGGGCGCCAGGGGGGGGGGGGGTGGTTGTTCGGTAGGGCCCTTTACATGCAAAACCCTTCAAGGAACCCTAAAGATCCCTAGTACAACCCTTAAAGGGACCCCAAGGACTTCTGTAGGGTCTTAGGGCTCCTAGGGCTTAGGGAGTTTGGGGCTCCCTGAACTTTTGGGGTCTGGGAGTTTTTAGGGTTTAGGGTTTAGGATTTAGGGTTTCGGGGTTTCGGGGTTTAGGGTTTCGGGGTTTCGGGGTTTAGGTGTTGTAGGCTCTCTGGGGGTTTCGGATTGAAGTTGCAGTGCTGTGCATTTTGTCTTACTGACTCGTCGTCTGCGGATCTTTGTGGAGTTAGGGGTAGTGAAGGTGTTGTCATCTGGTTTCAAGAGAACCTTCCAACATATCCTATTTCCATCCTTGTGTTACAGCGGGGTTTAAACTCATTTTGCCCTAAGTAAACTCTAGTAAAAGCCATGCCATAGAGCCTGAATGTTTCTCCCTAAACTGGTCTGGTTGTGTAGGGTGTTGCTACATCGGCCTTCATGACATGATTTGAAGAGGATCCTCGCACTTCCTGTCGGGTTTTCGGACATGGCTGCGATCTGAAGACAGCTTAGCCGTCGGATGGGCTTGGAGGGGTTTTGGGATCTTGACGCATTTACACAAAAGCAAACCCTGAGGCCTGAAAGCCATACGCCCAAAGCCCTAAACTCAAAACCGTGAGCCCCAAAACCGAATAAAACCTAAAACCGCTCCCAGACCCTGAGCCGTATCAGAGAAGTGGCGCCCGGGAGGAAGAGGTGTCCCAGGTCCGGGACTGCGAATCGTGGAGCCTCGTATCCGATGCTGGGAATTGGAGAACAAAAGCTTTCGTTTTTTACTGTGTACCCATAGGCCCCAAAGTAGTTCTTTTTTGGGATTATATATGAACCCCCAAAACGAACTACTATGGAGCCTACGGGTAGGTTAAGGGTTTTCAGTGGTTTTAAATGATATCTTACGATGTCTGCCCGACTTGTAGGTGCCTGTGAAGTCCGTTGTTATGATTGCGAAGCTCTTTGTTCCATAGCCCGAGATGAGTTGTCAGCCTTGGCTGCGGATGTAGATCCAATGCACGGTGATGGTGCGTGTGCTGTGAAAGGGTTCAATCTAATCAGGACCCTCCGTAGGGGGTTAAGAGTTTAGGAGGTTAGGGTTTAGGGTTTAAGGTGTTTGTCATCTAGATTAAGGTCTGGACGCTTTACTCATTGGGGAAGTCAGCATCCCAGGACGACGGCCAGGACTTCGTCAAAGGGCTGCTCACCGTGGATCCAGACCAAAGGCACAGCGATTGAACTCCGAAAGGACCCAAGGGAACTAACATAAGCATTTCAAATGCGGTACTCATGGTAGTCATAAACCTTTTCGGCTTTCACTAGCTGAGACTCTAGCTCCTGAACCTTAAACCCGAAATAGTGCCGGAACATCCGAACTTTTATGGACCAAATTAAGTCGAAAGGAGCTCGGCCATACTGTGGGATTTGCTTTGGAGCGAGGCTTGACGATGTGGGTTTCTCGGTAGATTTAGGCGCAACCTCCGTTACGAAGCGTTGCAGCCTCTGGTTTTCTTAACGATGGTTTACGGAGGCATGTCGATTCAGGAGGTTTCGAGTATAGTTTGATGGTAAGCTATGCTGCCGCCTCAGTTACCCAAAACTCCCAACCCTGACCCCTAAAGCCTGAATCCTGAAAAAAGCAGGCAAGATTGGGGTCTGAAAAATGTGGATCGTCAAATTCCTTTCTCGTCCCTTTACGCATGAGAACCTTTTCCAAACAGACCTCCAGAACTTGCGATAGAACACGATGGTTGGAGCCGAAGGTATGGCCTACTGCAGTGCAGTGAGCACGTCTGGCTCCGTGAGGCCCGTACTTATGTAGGGATCAAGGGACTTAGTATGTAACTGAGTAAGTGGGTTATAGGTTTTAGGAAGGTCTACCCTAGTAGTGTACTGATAACTCTACCTTTCACGTATTTTCTCAGTCCCCCAAGGCTTCAACAAGAGTTTGTATGGAGGTCCATTTGGGTTGGGTTCAGGGTTTGAGGTTTCGGGTGTGGGGTTCAGGAACTACTGAAAGCGTCTTCTGGAATTTGCAGGTTTTTTTGGCGTTGGGGCTTAGAGTCAACATAGGGACCTATTAGCAATAATTTGAAAAGGGGGGCGAGGGCTTCGTGTTGAGCGGTGTGTAGGTTTGAGGCTACATGGACTGCCTTCTGGAGTTCGGGAGTTGAATCTAGATTACAGGGCGTATATAAACCCTAAACCCCAACCCTAAGGCTCTACGGACTCATATATTAAGGCTCTTGGGCCCAAAGACCATACTATATGAGGCTTTTCGGGGCCATGTTGAGCCTTAGGGTAAAGCGATGGGATCTGGGGTTCAGGGTAGGATGCACGTCTTACTTGGAGGGTCGGGGGACTTAGTAACTGGTTATCTTAGGGACTTTTTCGTACCACAACCCCAATTAGGGCCCCTTTTAAGTACTTATAAGTCTACCTACTACCTACTTACTAAGTCCCTCGACCCTCCAAGTAGGTTGTCCGGACTAGGAGAAGGAAGCAACCGAGAGATGACTCAGCAAAGTTCACACCCGGAGCTCTTCAAAGCGCTAGAGCTCCTAGACTCAGGGTTTACGGTTTCGGGTTAGGGTTTAGGGTTTCGGGTTAGGGTTTAGGGCTTCGGGTTAGGGTTTGGGGTTTAGGGTTTGTGGTTTCGGTTTAGGGTTTAGGGCGTAGGGTTTAGGGTTTAGGGTTTCACAAAGCCCCAAAGCCCCAAACCTCGAAGAGGGTGCAGGGCTTAAGGGGCTTGGGGTTTAGGTTTATAAGCCGGGCCTTGGGACCCTAGAAGCCACTAAGTCACTAAGGTTCGAAGCCCTAACCCTGAGGCTGAGCCCTAAAGCCCTCCGCTCTGAACCCTTCACTGGTCTTTTGTTACACGGTTGGTCGCCCGAAGATAGCGGAAGATATATCTTTGGTGCAAAAGCATAAGCAGCTCTGTTTGGAGACAGCAAAAGATATACCTTCGGGCCAAGATAGGCCGAACATATATCTAGATATAAGTAGATATATCTTTTTTGATCGAAGATAGTGAAGATAGACAGGAACTTAACATAAGATAAAAAAGATAAACAAGATAGAAAAAGATAGCATGTGCACAATTTTGCATCAAGAACCCCGCCCACAGCCTATGTGCATGGCCCTGCTGTTTCGCCTGTCGCGCCCCATCACAGACCCTGTCATAGGCCCTGTCCACCCCTGTCACAGGCCTTGTGATAGGGTGTGTCCACCCCTGTCACAGGCCCTGTCCGTAGACCCTGTGCACCCCTGTCACGGCCCTGTTCGTGGGCCCTGTCCACCCCTGCCACAGGCCCTGTCACAGGGCGCGTGACCCCCACAGACCCTGTTCGTAGGTCCACCCCTATCACACGCCCTGTCACAGGCCCTGTCCACCCCTGTCATAGGTGTCCGTAGGCCCTGTCCACCCCTGTCATAGGCCCTGTCCGTAGGCCTTGTCCACCCCTGCCACAGGGCCTGTCCACAGGCTCTATCCAGGCTGTCACAGGCCCTGTGTGTAGACCCTGTCCACCCCCTTCACAGGCCCTGTCCACAGGCTCCGCCCCCGCCCCCTCCACAGACCGTGTTTCTGTGCTTTACCATCCTAATACGTCTGGCTTTCGCTTTCAGAAGACATATTTCATGTATTTATATGTTTTTCCACTTTTGACCTCCTGAAGCGTTTTCGTGTGGCTTTCTCCTGTATGTGTGATGGAAAGGACGTCTGTATGCATGCCTTCGCGGCATAAAAAGCGGTGAGTTTGCAGTCTAAACACAGGGGGGGGTTGGGGGGGCGCAGCCCCCCCCATTTGCACACGTTTCCACAAAATAGACTTTTGTTTTTCTGTGCTTTACCCTCTTATACGTGTGACTTTCGCTTTCAAAAGACATTCCATGTATGATTATTCTCATAAAACCTTCCCACAAAATAAGCTTGCGTTTTTCTGTGCTTTACCATCCTAATACGTCTGGGTTTTGCTTTCAGAAGACATTTCATGTATGATTATCTTACTTTTTTCGCTTTTAACCCCCTGAAGCGTTTTCGTGGGGTTGTCTCCTTTATGTGTGATGGAAAGGACGTTTGTATTCATGTTGTTGCGGGATGAGAGCGGGGAGGCGCAGCCCCGCCCGTTTGAAAACATCTTAATACGTGTGGCTTTCGCGTTCAGAAGACATTTCATGTATGATCTTGTTTTTCACTTTTACGCCCCTAAAGTGAGGGTGTCAGAGCGCACCCCCTCCAATTTGCACACGTTTCCACAAAATAAACTTGCTGCTTCTCCGTGCTGTACCCCCTAATATGTCTGGCTTCCGATTTCACAAAACATCTCATTTATAACTTTTAGCCCCCCATGCGTGCCTTCGCGGCATAAAAAGCGGTGAGTTTGCAGTCTAAACACAGCGGGGGGGGGGAAGGTTGGGGGGGAGCAGCCGCCCCAGTTGCACACGTTTCCACAAAATAGACTTTTGTTTTTCTGTGCTTTACCCCTCTTATATGTTTGACTTTCGCTTTCAAAAGACATTCCATGTATGATTATTCTCATAAAACCTTCCCACAAAATAAGCTTGCATTTTTCTTTGCTTTACCATCCTAATACGTCTGGGTTTTGCTTTCAGAAGACATTTCATGTATGAGTATCCTTCTTTTTTCGCTTTTAACCCCCTGAAGCGTTTTCGTGGGGTTGTCTCCTTTATGTGTGATGGAAAGGACGTTTGTATTCATGTTGTTGCGGGATAAGAGCGGGGAGTTTGCGGTCCAAAAACAGCGGGGGCGTTGGGGAGGCGCAGCCCCGCCCGTTTGAAAACATCTTAATACGTGTGGCTTTCGCGTTCAGAAGACATTTCATGTATGATGTTCTTGTTTTTTTCATTTTTACGCCCCTAAAGTGAGGGTGTCAGAGCGCACCCCCTCCAATCTGCACACGTTTCCACAAAATAAACTTGCTGCTTCTCCGTGCTGTACCCCCTAATATGTCTGGCTTTCGATTTCACAAAACATCTCACTTATAGCTTTTAGCCCCCCATGCATGCCTTCGCGGCATAAAAAGCGGTGAGTTTGCAGTCTAAACATAGTGGGGGGGGTGGGGGGGGTTGGGGGGGGCGCAGCCCCCCCATTTGCACACGTTTCCACAAAATAGACTTTTGTTTTTCTGTGCTTTACCCCTCTTATACGTTTGACTTTCGCTTTCAAAAGACATTCCATGTATGATTATTCTCCTAAAACCTTCCCACAAAATATGCTTGCGTATTTCTGTGCTTTACCATCCTAATACGTCTGGGTTTTGCTTTCAGAAGACATTTCATGTATGATTATCCTTCTTTTTCGCTTTTAACCCCCTGAAGCGTTTTCGTGGGGTTGTCTCCTTTATGTCTTTATGTGTGATGGAAAGGACGTTTGCATTCGTGTTGTTGCGGGATAAGAGCGGGGAGTTTGCGGTCCAAAAACAGCGGGGGCGTTGGGGAGGCGCAGCCCCGCCCGTTTGAAAACATCTTGATACGCGTGGCCTTCGTGTTCAGAAGACATTTCACGTATGATGTTCTTGTTTTTTTCACTTTTACGCCCCTAAAGGGAGGGTTCGCTTTCAAAAGACATTCCATGTATGATTATTTTCATAAAACCTTCCCACAAAATAACACACGTTTCCACAAATTAAACTTGCTGCTTCTCCGTGCTGTACCCCCTAATATGTCTGGCTTTCGATTTCACAAAACATCTCATTTATAACTTTTAGCCCCCCATGCATGCCTTCGCGGCATAAAAAGCGGTGAGTTTGCAGTCTAAACACAGCGGGGGGGGTTGGGGGGGGGCAGCCCCCCCCCCATTTGCACACGTTTCCACAAAATAGACTTTTGTTTTTCTGTGCTTTACCCCTCTTATACGTTTGACTTTCGCTTTCAAAAGACATTCCATGTATGATTATTCTCATAAAACCTTCCCACAAAATAAGCTTGCGTTTTTCTGTGCTTTACCATCCTAATACGTCTGGGTTTTGCTTTCGGAAGACATTTCATGTATGATTATCCTTCTTTTTTCGCTTTTAACGCCCTGAAGCGTTTTCGTGGGGTTGTCTCCTTTATGTGTGATGGAAAGGACGTTTGTATTCATGTTGTTGCGGGATGAGAGCGGGGAGGCGCAGCCCCGCCCGTTTGAAAACATCTTAATACGTGTGGCTTTCGCGTTCAGAAGACATTTCATGTATGATCTTGTTTTTCACTTTTACGCCCCTAATGTGAGGGTGTCAGAGCGCACCCCCTCCAATCTGCACACGTTTCCACAAAATAAACTTGCTGCTTCTCCGTGCTGTACCCCCTAATATGTCTGGCTTTCGATTTCACAAAACATCTCATTTATAACTTTTAGCTCCCCTAAAGCAATTTCGTGTGGATTTCTCATTTAGTAATAGTAATAGCAATAGTAGTAGTACTAGTACTAGTACTAGTACTAGTACTAGTACTAGTACTAGTACTAGTACTAGTACTAGTAATAGTAATAGTAATAGTAATAGTAATAGTAATAGTAATAGTAATAGTAATAGTAATAGTAATAGTCATAGTCATAGTCATAGTAATAGTAATAGTAATAGTAATAGTAATAGTAATAGTAACGTTTTTCTGTGCTTTACCATCCTAATACGTCTGGGTTTTGCTTTCAGAAGACATTTCATGTATGATTATCCTTCTTTTTTCGCTTTTAACCCCCTGAAGCGTTTTCGTGGGGTTGTCTGCTTTATGTGTGATGGAAAGGACGTTTGTATTCATGTTGTTGCGGGATAAGAGCCGGGAGTTTGCAGTCCAAAAACAGCGGGGGT